CGACAGGTATCATATTTACACCTAAAAAATTTCATCTAGTGTATGTTTAAAAGTAAAAGAAGAAAATAATAAAAAAATTAGGGTCAACAATAACAAAAAATGGGAAAACGCGACGCATATATTTACCTATGTTGTTACACATGCAATCGGGCGTTACTTTCTGTGGCGACTGTACATGTACATCGCATCGAAAATTTATACAAAATTCTTACCCCGTGGGATCAACATTAACGTTGCCCCTCCTAACTGTCCGAATTCTTCCCTAACAATTTTCTTTGGCGTCTCAGGGAACGTAAATGCAATAACAAACCATAAACAATTATATTGTATGTGATCCAGAGAAAACTTCACAAAATTCTTGTATTGCAAATAGAATATTAATATTTTACTTATAATTAACAATTGACATTGATAATAATTAATTTTTTTATTTGCAATAATAACAAAGCATGTCCTGTGAAATCTCATAGTCTAGACCTATAAAATAAAAATACCCTCAACAGGCAATTTATTACTACCTTCGACAGATGTGGATAAGATAGAAAGACTAGGGACGGGAAGTCCATTGATTGTTAGCAAGAGGAAAGCGATGAAGAACGCAAGAACACAGTTGTAATGTTCAAGCTTCATTTTTTGGTGATGAAATGTGTTAAAAATTTTCAGTTAAAAAGCCAATTTTACGGAAGTGGTTTTTCGAACATATTTCTTCAGCTGAATATTTATGCATTCCAAATTTCTAAGTCTTCTTGGAAACACCAATGATTCCTGATGCAAAATATCAGTATCGAGTTAGCGTGTTGACTCCTTCTTTTACATATGTACATAATCTATACACGCGGATGTCTAAATTTATAATCTCAAAGAATTCTACATGTACAATTCCTTGTTGAATAGTCACATACTAAATATACATGTATACAATATACATATAATTTGTAAAAATAAGATAACCTTTATTTGTTTGCTTATAAAAATTCTATGGTGAATGTTTTTGTACATATCTTTTATCGACTTTCAAAAGGTCTTATGTCTTTTGCTAAATTGCTCATACGAAATCCGCTCAAGCCAAATCTTAAAGGTAAATGTTCAAAGCCGCGAAATTGTAGCCTTATTAGCATCGAGTCAATTTTAGTATTTTCACTTGTCAAGGTGAAATATCACATTGAGAGCATATTTGTAAAGTTAGCATTCCAGTTGAATTTGTTAATAAAAAAAGTCATGAGCAATCTATTGATCGTCCGGTTTGCTTTTCCATTGTCCCAAATAGCATAATAAAATCCGTTTCGTTAAAATATTCTATTTGCTTAACTTGCTTCATAATTTATATATGTTTTCTGATAAAGCAAAAATTCTTTTGAATGCTATGAATTCGCGACCCTTAGATCACATCATATACGAAATATATCTGTATTTTCAGCAATTGTGGTCCAGAAAATGGACGAGTGATGGTTTAATTCGATTTCCAAAAATGTTTAATAATGCTTTTAATTAAAAAAATTGTTGAATTGAATAATCTTTATTTTTATTCATATTGACTGTTATTACAATAAACATACTAACCAAGAAAAGTCCATGTATACAAATATTCAAAGTCTGCGGACGGTCTATCTACGAAAAATCCATGTATATTTATAACCCCAATGTTCCAAAATTTTATTTACAAGCCCATGGTCCGTTTAAAATGAACCATTCCATAAGATGTCAATTCAACAGCATCAAGCTAAAAAAGTAATTGAATCAAATCATTTGACATATAGAAATTGGTAATAAATCTTCTATCATTTATATCATCCAGAAGTTTGACCAGAAACCATTGATAAATGTTTTCAACCAAATTTTGGAAAATAGGCTACTATAATATGAGAAGTGTTATATTTATTGATTTAATAATAGGAAGAAAAATTAAGCTATTTACGTTAGCTTCAAAATTGACTCTTGATATACTGGTGAATAATTGATATAAGTTCTGGAATTATAATCATCATCAGTTGGATAGAAAGCAAGATTAACAAAGTCAAACTCATTGTTCACTTGACTGATATTATAAGTAATGATATGTAGTTACGTTTATACTTTGAATTATCGGATGGCTTGACTTTTTTAAGTTTAAATTTTGGAATCAGATTTATAAACTATCAAAAATTCCACACCTTTGTCATAGTATAATTTCTTGTCTATAAACACAAAATCTGAATTAATACCTCACACCTTATGATCCTAATAAAGCTCTTCAAAGATATTAGAATGTTTGCTTATACTCTTATTTATGTTTATTATCTTTGTCATATCCAGTACATGTATAATAAGGTAAGCTATCAGAAATTCAATACCATCAACATCTAATATCATATAGTTCATAGTGCTCTCATGCAGTCTTTATAAGTAGCATTCAAATAAATCTCAGTAATGCTAATGCTAATATTCTGATACTTGATTTCTTTTAGCAATGGGATGATAAAACCTATGGCTGTAATTTCTGAATTAGGTATATCTAAGTACATATAGGGCATTACAAAAAAAACTATAATTACTATTTTTACTTATATTCAATGAATATTTATTTAATTCATATAAAATTTTAAA